AGGAAAGGGACAGAGAGATCCATGAGAACACATGGCAGAAGGCATAGCCCAACCCACCAATGGCTAAAAGAAAGTGGGACTGGGGCCAATAAACTTGTCTTTCCTTTCTCTCTCTCAAGACTCAAGCTTTATAGTTAATTCCAGAAATCTTATAAACTATCAGAGCAAGGTTACCCTCAAAATACTGGTACAAATATCTACCCGCAAAAAAAGAGGTCTCAAGAGCTCCCCTACCTTTAGGGGTGAGGGAGGTATCTCATTCTTAGAGACTTATTCTCTACAGAGACTAAAAGAAGGTCTAGGGCTCAGGCTACTCTGAAGGCCTCTATAGTGTCTAAGTTGTGATGGTGGGGGTAAGGTTTCAATTTAGGGCATTGGTGTCCTGTGCTGGGTCCTCAGGGCATTCTAACCTGAGCCACCATACTAGTGACATCGCCGGGGTTGGAGGGTAGCAGGATAGTGTTGGAGTCCTTGGCCAGTTTGGAGAACGCACTGACATACTGCTCAGCCACAGTCAGTGAGGCTGCTGCATCTCCATTCTGTGGCCACAGAAGGAATAAAATCAGAGATCACAGGTCTTGGAGAAGGAGGTGGGTGGGTAGGTGGAGGGGAGGGGGGTATAGAGTAGTCAGGTTCCTGGAAAGAGAATCAGATCACAATACAAGAGATCATGTAAGGTGGCTCAGCAGAACCCATAAAGGCAGGAGCTTCTCCCAAGGGTAGATGAGAAAGCCTCTTCCACCATCCATTCCTGTCTCCCACCCACCCAGGGGCCTCTCACATGTTGTGTCAGAGCTGCAGCCAGGATCCGAATAGCTTCAGCCTTAGCCTTGGCCTTGGCCAGAACTGCACTGGCCTCTCCTGGAAGAAAAGAGACACAGCTTTACTCATGAAGCCAGGGTACCTCAAAGCTCCTGTACCAGTACCAACCCTCAAAGACCCAAGCCCTGCTCCTCCCTCAGCCTCTACCCTCTGCAGACCTGCTGCCTGATTTATTTGTTCAGCCTTTTCTGCCTCGGAGGCCAGGATCTGTGCCTGCTTCTTTCCCTCTGCCACATTGATGGCTGACTCCCGGGTCCCCTCAGACTCTAGAACCGTGGCCCGTTTCCGCCTCTCTGCCTCCACCTAGAAACCCCCAATATCCTCCATCAACAAAAAGCCAGAGTAAATTCTTACACAGACCTCCAATGTACCCATCATGACAGGGAAGGGAGTCCAGGTCCCCATGAGACTGGAGCATCCTGAAGTCCTCTTCCCCATCCCTCCCTGGCCCCCACCTGCATCTGCATGGACTCTTTCACTCGGGGTGGCACATGGATATCCTTGATCTCATAACGGAGGCAGCGAATGCCCCAGCAGTCAGCAGCCTGATTGATGGCAGCCACAATACTAGCATTCAAGGACTCCCGCTCCTAGAGAAAGAGAGGTATAAATTCCATGGCTTCAACCCTCTAATCAAGGGTCTAAGATGAGAAGTGCCTCTAAATGATCTTGACTCTCACACTGAGTGTGAGGTAAGCATCTTCAAACGGTAACTCTCCCTCAGATCCCCTTACCCGGAAGACTTTGTCCAGAGAGAGTTTGCCAAGCTCTGATCTCATGGTCGTCTGAGCTAGCTGTGTGACAGCATACTCAGGGTCCTCCACACCATAGCTTGCCTGAAAAGGGCATGGAAAGTGTTAAGAATCTCGAGTGCAGAATTTTAGTGGGAAAAAAGCAACATAGGAGCTGAATAAACCAAGGGAAAGATACCTTATACGGGTCCATGATACGTAGATAAAGGACTCCATCGATTTGCAGAGTTACATTGTCTATAAGTACAGGAACAGGAGAGAAAAGGAGGAAAATCAGGCCTCCGATTTCCAGTTATTTCTCATGAGCTCTGGATCGCCTGCAACTACATCCTAATGGTCTCAGAGCACCCGAGTCACCCTGCACCCCTCACCGAGAGTCACAGCCGACTGCTCAGGCACGTTGATGACAATTTCCTTGAGACTCTGCACGTATCGGATCCGGTCTAACACAGGGATGAGGATGTTCAAGCCCTGGGAAGAGGAGTCATGGGTCCTCAGAAAGATGGGGGTTGTAGGGTTTGCATTCAAGCTAGGCCTGGAGTGGGTACTGGAATGAACTTATGGAACATTCCAAATAAAGCAGAAAGCTGGGGGTGTCAATGGTAGGGAGGTCCAAGAAGATGACAATACAAGGCGAGACATGTGAACAAAGAGAATGGGAGTCAGCAGAGTATCAGACAACAGGAGCTGAGAGGGTAGATAGGGGAGATACCCAAGAACGGGGCCTGTGGAAAGCTAGGGCAGCACCAAAAGGTGGTAACGTGGGTTCAGCAGCCTAGACTCTGCCAGGTCTGGCCAGGGGAGCTGGAAGCCAAAAGTGGGCGCAGGCTGCAAGGAGATCCCACCCCATCCGCCCATATCGTGAGAGGGTTCGGCATCAGGCAGGCCCTGAGTGGGCAGAAGAGGTTCTCACAGGCTCCAGGATCCGGTGGAATCGGCCCATTCGCTCCACCACCCAGGCCTCTTGCTGCGGCACAAACAGTACCACGGTGTTTCGGGGCAATCCAGAGGAGGCGCGACGTGGAGCACGGCCAGAAGCCTGCACGGAGCTCTATTAGAGAAGACGATGATTAGTAGAGATGTGCCCAGCCGGCGGGGCACATCGCCCTTTTCAGCGCCTGTCCAGGGAGCATCTCCTTAAACCGCGACCCGAAAGGGTCCTCGGAGGGGAACTCACGTGGGTACTGTGACCTCTGACCCTAGTTCTCTCCCCACACTTAGAATCCTGCTCCTTCCCAGGTAAGGGTCCAGATGATCTCTGGCCCGACCCTTGGAGAAGACTCCCTCGCACTCACCCTCAGCAAAAGGGCCCCAGTCCCCCGCGCAGCGCGCGCCAGCATTTCCCACGGCCGCAGGACCTCCGGAACCAACGAGACGGTGAGCAGAGAGGTCACTCTAGAAGGCCGGACCTGAGCCTTTCCTCCTTTATTTCCACTCCCCCATACGTACTTCCGGCCGTCTCCCTTCCCCCGCCCCCGCCCAACTTCAGCCAATCAGCTTTACCTGAACTGAAGCGTGTATCAAGTTGTTCCCTGGGATTTGTAGACCTTCTAGAGAAGGCCTAAGGCTGAAACTTGTTCTGGTTCTCTTTGATCAAACCCAAGATTCCGGACGTGACGACCGTGGAGGCTATTTTCCGCGTGCAAGTGTCCCACAAACACTTCCCACCGCGTTCTTTACCCCCACCGGAGACTCAGTTTACCCTTCTGAGCTTATAAACGACCTTGTCACCATAGCGACCAGGGGATTGGAGCTCTTTGCCACGGTTGCCATAGTGACATTGTCAGGTAGTCCCGCTGTGTTGTACCCAGCCCTCCCACTGGGGACTGACCCCATTCCCGTTGCCATGGTGACTGGGGCTAACATTGCCTGGTGATTGGACTGAGATTTCCCCCTCCCCTCTTCTCCCCAGGAACTATAGCTTTTTCTACCTCTTCTAGCTCTTCCCAGTCAGGGTCTATCAGGCCTGATCCCCTTACAGAGTCCAGCACATTCAGGCTTTTCTGGATCATGTCACTCTGCACACATCCCTGTGTTCTGGCATTTCTTTTAAGAGACTTGCAGAATCACCCCCATTTTGCATTTCAGGGCACTTAAGTTCAGAGGGGCTAAAATCAGTAACAATAAAAGCAGTTTGGGAATGCAGATCCACATTCAGAGAGTTCAGCTTTTATGGCTCAACCTTTCTCACCACCCCACCCCATCATCTGAAAAGAGCAAGACCAGATCCTAAGAATCATTAGGGCCTTGTCTAAGACCTCATGGCCTCAGACCTCAAGCCTCTCTGGGAGAAAGGGCAGAGTCTGAGCTCCAGTTAGGTCTTCCATCCCCATTCCCATATTCTCCCCAATAGAAAAAGTAGGGTTTAGCTCAAGTTTCCAAACAAGAATTTATTCTTTCTTTATTGTTGTTGTTTTTTCCTGAAAAAAAGTACCAGGTACAATTTTTTCATATCTTTTCTTTTTTCTTTTCCTTTATTCCTTCCTTTCTTTCTTTCTCTCTCTCTCTCTTTTTTTTGTTCAAGTTTCAAGCAATTGCTTGTTCCCCTCAGCCAGCCCCAGGAGTCAGGACTAAGACTGGGTCAGAGTCTGGTGTGGGGAATAGGGTAGTTAGGAAATCACATGACTGAGTTTGAGGGGTGCCCCTCACCCCAGCTGAGGTAGGTGGGTCAGAGTCTGGCCGGGTGAGAGGAGGCACCCCGGTCCTTGGCCCTGACTCTGCCCCCTAAACACCTTCCTCAGTCAGGACCCCAAAGCAAGGAGACACAGGCAGGAGGAGAGGGACAACTGGAGTCTGGAGTCTTAGATCAGGCGTGGTTAACCTCTGTGTGTGTGCATGCATGCAAGCTCTCTTTCTCACACACACCACACAAATAAAAGCTTGTATGTGTGTGTGTGCACACGCAAATACACACGCATGCGCGTGTGCACGCACACACACACAAGTTGGTTTTCAGAGAAGGGTGAAAGGGTAGGTGAAGTGAAAAGTATAGGGAAGGACCGGGGAAGCTGAGTCTTTGGCTAGGGACTCAGTCCTTCTGGGATAACCTCTCTGCCCTCAGCTGAGGAAGAACAATTGTCCCCCAACCCCCACATCAGCTTCTTCAACTCCTGAGCTTGGAGCAATATCTGAGGGTGGGAAAGGATGAGGGGCAATGCCAATTATCAGGTTTGGGAGGTTACCAAGGCAATCCAATTTGAATAAATTATAAATTAAAAATAAATAAAATAATAAGTGGCCCCTGCCCAGGACAGGGAGGCAACGCTGGCATGACTTGCCTGGGAACTTTAGAAAACCTCAGGGTAGCTCCTGTGTCGCCCCACTATCTAAGTTGGCCTGGGAAATCCAAGGGAGTGGGGAGGCACATGGAGTACCCAGAGTAGAGCAGAGTGTGGTAAGGATCAGAGGCTTTAAACACCCAAATAATCGATTTGGGCACGAGCATGGTGAGGGCTTTAATTCAAGCCTGAAGGGTCTTTTGCCACATTTCCACGTATTTGCTCTGTCCAGGATGGAGAAGGATGGGCAGGTACTTGGCCCACATGGGTTCAGGGTGCTGGCAATCAGGGCAAAGGTGAATAACGTGGATTGTGAGGGGACTCAGTCACTGCCTGCAGTTCATAGGGGAGCCCTGTGTCCAGTTCCAGGCTCCGACGGGAAAAAAGCAGGCGGATATCTCCATGCAGGCTTAAGCGGCCTGAGCGGGAGCTCCGGAACCTGGGGGACGACAGGGTGATCAAAGAAAGAATCCAGACAGTAGAGAAGCCAAGAGAGATTCTATTCAGGGAAGAGATAATCTGGGGTGGGGAAAATCCTTTCCCTGGGCCTCCCCAGCTGCCCTTGAGCCCTATCCTCACCTGAGGTGCAGCAAGTAGCAGAGGAGGCGGCAGGTGGGGCTAGCATTTCCCTCCTCACCCACAGGCACCAAAAAGAGGCGATGGCGCAGGAAGGTCATGTGGGCAGCAGGCATGTCCGAGAAGTCAAAGGTCACAAGGAACATCTTCACCACAGTCTGGTTGGGGTTAAATAAGGTCTGGGGGCAGGACAGGCAGAGTTGGTAGGGCCTACGGGCTGTTTTCCTCTCCCCACTCCCATTCCCCCTCAGGGTAAACTTACCACTTGGATGGTGCCCACCTTGGGCACGCTGTAACCCTTCCTCCCCAGGGGGTTCAGATCCACGACACCCTAGGGAGGTCATGTAGCCATCAGCTAAGAAGGGGTCTAGGAGAGCTTTGAATACTCATCCATCTCCATATTCTCTCACTCTGGGCCTAGCCCTTGCCCCACACTAGAGTTTTCCCTCCCAGGCTCTGAACTCTCTCCTAGGTGAGAACACCCAAAAAATTGCTCCTGCCACCCACCCCTCACCCTCCTCACAAGCTAACTGGGTAGAGGTCAGGTCATACCAGGAAGGGAGCCGGGGCATTTTGCTCAGAAACATCAAAGAAGGTGACAGTGACAGGCAGCGTGACATGCTGGGGGCAGTAGGATCCACTAGCTCCAATCTCTGCCGTGAAGCCCTCAATGTGGCCAGATGGTGCAAAGCATCCTCGCAGCAATGATTCCTGGGGTTAAGATGCAGAAAGCATATTATGAGACAGATACCAGCTATTTTCCATACCCATCCAGGCCACACTCTGCCATCTCACTTTCCCCAAGTACCCCAGTCACAGAACCCAAGAGGAACTACCTCAAAGTTGCCAAGCAGGGTACGGCTGACGGCAGGGGTAGGAACAGGGGAGGCACTGGGGGGGCTCAGCAGGCCTGGCCCCTTCCGGAGGCTTCGAAGGGAGCTCCTGGTAGGGGAGGGACACACAGTACATTGGCTTGAAGTATTCTGGTATGCTTACTCATGTCCTTGGGCTCACCCTTTGCCACCATCTAGGGCTCCTGCCCTGGGGTCCCCTACCCTGCGGTAGGGAAAAAGGATTACAGACTTCTGCCCCATTTGCAGGGACAGAGCAGAGGGAGAAGCTGATCACTTACAGCTTCAGGCGACGGGCACCTTTCAGCCTCCGCCCCATGGGACTGCAGTCTGTTGGGTCCTATGGAGATGAAAGAGTACAAAAAAGATTGGGTGGAGGTCAGGTATATTTGGGAGCAGGAGCTCATTACAAGCTCTCATAGGAACACCCTCCACCCCCAACCCCCAGGCCTTTACCTTTTCCCACACACATATCTACTTAAGAATAGACCATCCCCTCTCCTATATTACCAGCACAGGCTCCTTGGGCCCAGGCAGCAGATGGCTCCAGAAGGGTGTGGCTTTGGCATCAGAACTGTTGGCAGCAGGAGGGTGGCCCAGGGTTCCCCGGCGCCTCCGAGGGGCTGGCCCCTCATCCTCAGAGCTGACATCCAGGGCTTCTCCAGCAGGAAGCAGCCTTCGCTTGGTGGGGCAGGGGCCTGGAGGTCCAGGGCCAGGGGGTGTGTGCTCGGGACTGTGCCCATTGGCAGTGCCAGGGGACTCCCTAGGCCAAGGGCTGCCCCTGTTGCCCACCCCAGCCACTGGGCTCTTACCCCCTATTTGTGCAAGACTGTGCAAATCAGTGTCAAATGTGTGCAGCTGGCCCAGAGGGGCTGGCCCTGGGGACTCCCCCAGGGATCCCTGTCCCCCTGGATCTGGGGAAGCCCAGTCTCTGGTGTGCAAACTATTGCAGGAAGCATTTGATGGGGGAAAAGGGGGATTCTGGGCCCCTGAAGTCCAAGGTGAGGTGGAGTTACCTCCCTGTTCCACAACACAGAGGCCATGATGACAGAAATGCTGGCTGGCCACACCCAGTCCCAGTCCCAGTCCCTCTGGGCCTAGTAGCCCCACAGTAGATGGTTCTTCCGGGGGTAGTCCCTCTCTGGCCCCCAGCCCAGGGCCTCTCTTCAGCTCCCTGGGAACCTCAGTGGGCGGGGCTGGCCGTTTCAGGGCCCTAGGAGGCTCAGAGGCACCAGCTGGAGGGGAAAAGATGGATACCTGGTAGACCCCGGGGGATGTCGCCCCCCCTGCTGGGCTGTAGCCCATGAGCAGGCCACCCTGGAGGGCCCCCTGCCTGACTGCAGGCTGCGAAGGGCCAGCCTCTGGTTCTGAGGATGGAGACGGCTCCGCCTGCACGTGGCGCATGAAGCCCCCCTTGGGTCAGGGGGGCCCCCCCACACAGCCTTTATGCTGGGCCTGGGCTGGGGGGCCTGGGGACATCTGTACAAGAGAAGAGAAGAAAAGGTGATCAGAAGAATCAATGAGTCTTCTCCCTTCCACCTGAATTTCAGATCCTCCCCTGGCCTGAAGAGGTGACCTTGTGGGGTTCCTTGGGGTAAAGGTGTCCAAATCCCCAGATGGATTAATGAAATATAGAGGCCAATCCCAGAACTTCTGAGAGGATGACATATTTAGCTCAGGGTTCTTACTCGATCTGCTTCCCCTCCCTTTCCCTAGCACTCACCCCGATGAAGAGGCCTTAAGCCTAGCTGTGTGTTCCCTCTTCCTGACTGATGCCTTGCTCTCCTAGCTTGCAGTCTGGTCCATTCCCGCTGCACTGGCAAGGTGACTGCCACCATTCCGTGCAGCTCTTGGGCTCAGCTGGACCCTAAGGAAAAATAAGAACAGACATTAAGCCAGGGTCCCTGGAGCCAGTGGCAAGACTCCTGTCCAGTTGTGGGCTAGCAAAGTACCCTCCAGGATATCTGTCTCCTATATGAAAAGCTCTTCAGAAACAGAAGGTGCAGTCTTGGGATCCAGAGCCCAGAGGGAAGAGCTGGGCTACCTAAGGAGTCAGAGAGAGGCAGATCTAGGTTCAGTGTAATAAGGATGAGAGAAGTTGTGGCAGGATGATTATTTATCAGGGCCACCAGCTAAGGGACTTCTGCCCTGAATGTGAGGGGGAATGCAATACCCCAAGATCCAAGAGACCATGCCAAATGAGAGATGGCCAGGGTAAGAATTCAGCCCCCCTAGTCAAGGTTGTGTAACTCCTTCCTGTATGTCTCTCTCCAAATGCTTGTCTAGAGCCCTAAGGGCAGAAGTCTTGCAGAAAGCCCTATCCCATGAGCACTCCTCAGAGATATAAACCTCAGGTCAGCTCAAAGGCGGCCCTTTGGCCTTAAATTCCTTATTACCCTAAGCAGTCTGTCCCTTTAACAGAAGGCAACAAATCTAATCAAAAACAAGTGGAGGGGGAGTGGAGAAGGCACTGCCAGAAGGCACTTTTCAGTACTTCCCCTCCCCCTAGGCTCTGCACGCTAGAGATAAGGCAGCAGCAGTCAGAGAGCTGGAAGCAAGTAGGATTACCTCTCCACCTAGCCACATGTTCAGCACCCAAAAACCCAAACCACTGTTTTTCTGCCAGGGCACAAGATTGTCTGTATTGACAAGTCCACCCTCAGGAGCCCATACTGGGTGAGGGGAATGTCAAATTGAAGGCCATTTTCCTTTATGGGAGGAAACACTGTCTCCAGGATCAGGCTTCTCCTTTGAGCAGTAGCCTAGGCTGCCTACCATCCACAGTATCTTTTCCCCTTCAAAGAAGTTTTCCTGTATGCCTACCTAAGCCCTATCCTTCCTTCTTGGCTAGGCCAAATGCCATTCTCTCCAAAAGACTACTCTGGTGACCCTAGACCACAGATCTCTGTCTCTGTCTCTCTCTCTTCTCTCAGACTTCACCTAAGGCAGTGTCACTATCTACTATCTACTGTAACCCAGTGACAATTTTGCTTGTTTTTGTAGGTAAGAAATCTCCTAGACAGACCATGGGGTTCTTAAGGATAGGTCTGTTTGCTCCTCTGCCAAACTCCAAGTACAGGGAGTAAGCATATAACATGGCTCAAAAAAGTAGAATGCAAGCCCTAGAGATCTTGGAATCAGTCCTAGCAGTGTAGAGAAAAACTCCCAGAATGAGAGAAGTAGAGATATGACTAGTATAGAAGAATAAGCAATAACAGAAGTGAAAGTGAGGGACAGGGAGAAAGGAAGAGATTTACACTCTGGGGCCTGAAAAGCTCTCCTACACTAAACTCTTATCATTGCAACCCACATTACCCTATTTCAGCAAGTTCTCATGAGAAGTGGGATCCTTAAGAAAATTCTGGTTCCCTGTGGTGGATGGGGTGTCTTGAAAGGGCAGAACTCCAAAGACAGCACTGTCAGAATGTGGGTACAACCTGTATTCATCTCTACCCTCCTTTCTTCTACTCAAGCCATACAGGTTGAGGAAGGGCCTTTTCCTTAGCACTCCACCCCCTGGTCATCCAAGTTGGCCTCTTGAGCCCTTGCCCTGGGACGGCAGGTGATGACATGATGCCTTACTTGACCCCAGCATGCCTGGCATCTGCTCATTACCCCAGAACCCTCTCAGTTCCTGCCTTGTCAATGAGAAGCTCTAAGACTTACTTCCCTGCCACTCAGCCTGTCTGGCTCTAGACATGGCTTTGAGCTGACTCATGGGGCAGGACTGTGGAGGAAGGGGGCAGGGTAGGCCAAACTTCACTCTCACAGAGGCTCACTCTCTGTGCAGGGGGTGGGCAGCAGCTGGCGTCAAACAGCTGTGCCAAGCTGTGGCTGGCAAGGACTACAGTTCCCAACATGCCCAAGGAGCAAAGCCAGCAAAAACAACAAGTCCCAGAATACCATGGGTTCTGTACCTCAGACACCTGCTAGGCCTGGGAGGTGGGGTAGGTGGGTGTTGGTATAGGTACAAGCTCCCATACTCACTCTTTCCTCCTCTTCAGTATTAAAGATATCTACTTCTACACTGATCTAGGAGGGTGGCAGGAAGGAGAATTCCTCTCCATGTGCTTTCTACCCTCATCCTGTTCAGGGAGAACTGCCAGCTACTCCACATTTTGTTCTTATACATATCCACACAAACTAGCCGAGCTACTCCCATGGACCACCACTATGGGTAGGAAGGTCAACTTCTGTTTTCTAACCCATCCCTTGACCGCTGGCCTAAAGACCTCTACCCTCAATGGAGAGAGCAGATGTCAGCACCTCCTCCAAACTGAGTCCAGCAGACTCACCCCTTCCCCTGGACTCCTTGCTTTGGATGATGCCCCCACCCCCTGCTTAGTCTCCCAGGTCCATTCTCACCCCTCTCCTCCCCAGAGCCTGAGACAGGCCCCATTCCCTACTGGAGCTTCGGAGATTTGCTCTTTCCCCCTAGCACACACTCACCCCGCTCTTAAATTGGCTCTGCCGCGGTGGCCGCTGCTCCGGGCCCTTCCGTCCCGTCCCGGTCCCTCCCCTCGAATCTCGGGTCCTCCCCGCCACGGGCCCCCAACCCAGACAAAGGGTGGCTCACGCAGAGCCCTGCTTTGCTAGGCTGTTCTCTGTTCAGCTTCGTGTGCAACACAAGCGGGACCTGGAGCCCGCAGCCCCCCAGCCGCTGCCGCACCCCTCCCCGCGACTGTCCCTCCCCGTGGCCGCCCCGGCTCAGTGCTGTCGACTCCGCTGCCCCTCTGACTCACAGGCCATTTCCTACCAGCTGATGGGGACGCCCGCCCCGCCCAGCGCCCCAACACCCCCGCCGCAGCGGCTGTGGCCGCCACGCCCCCCTAAGACCACGCCTTCCATGGGCAGCGACCGTATTCATTGGCCCATAGGAGTCCAGCCCCTCCACGACCTCAAGTGCGAGGCACGCCCCCTCCGAGAGACTCACACCCATTGGTTCACAAGGGGGCAGGCCTACCCATGTCGCCCCGCCCTTCTCCTTAACCCCTCATCTGCCGGAACTCAAAGGATCTCCCTGCCCTGCCATTTAACCCTTTCAAAGGCGTAGGCCTCCCACTTCTCACCTCCGCCCTTCCTTTTCCGAAGGTGTTTAATAGGACACCCTAGGGCTTTCAAAGACACAGCTCCACAATCTCTAAAGTCAGCCTGCTCTTCCCTCACCAGACCCCAAATATCCCCTCTTATTCATCTCTCCCTTCCTTGCAAACCAGAGCTTCAGGCACCAGAAGACTGTTCAAATCTAAAAAGCTTCTTCATGCCAAAGCAGATGAAAAAGTCCTGAAGTGGGATCCTATCTCCTTCCATTGAGAAATGGTATTGTTCCTTTTCTTACTCTATATTTTCTTTTGCCTTTGTTAGAGGGGCCTCAAGGGTTCCTGACAGAGGGATACATTTTAATTCAGGGACCTAAACATCCTTCTGAGATCAGCCTGCTTCATTCCTTCTACAGTATTCTTTCTATTCATAGGAGACCGAGCACCCAGGGGAAGTGGGATAGAAAGGCTTCTGCCATGAGTGGGGAGATGTGCCCAACTCTTGTGATGGAGCTCACTCCCATGACTCACAGCTCTCTCGAAACTCCCCACCCTCCCCCTGAGTCACTGGGCTCCAGGCTCAGCCCAGAAACAGCCAAATTAAGTGGCAGCAGAATCAGCATTCTTTAAATGACCTATTCTTTAAGTGACCAGGATGGAAACCTTTGTAAGGATTAAGCATTAAAAGACACTTTTTAGAGGGGCTGCTTTAGGAGTAAGCTAAGAAAATAGATAGCTTTAACTACCTTTTCCTCTGAACTTGTTGACAAGTTAGTTTCCAAACTTAGGAAGCTTTTTCTGTCACTTTTCCACAGAAGCAAGGAAATACCAGAGTCAAAAGAGGGAAGACTCAAACTGAAGGCTGGAGAATTGGCGTAAGCCAGGGCAGGCTGCCAATTATGCCTCCAGAAGAGGGGGAGTCCATTCTTTCATAGTTGAGGGGCCACAGAAGGCCCAAGGTCCTTGTTTGTAGCTTGCCTGTGCTATAGGCCCCAAGGGCCCTGAGGTTGTCACTGGATAGTAAAAAAAGAAAGAAAAAAAAGGTCTCCCCTCCCCCTACTTCCTCCTTGTGCACTAGACTTAGGAAGGATAAGTAAGTAACCCTTCCTCTAGGCTCCCTTCTTCTCACCTCAGACCAGGAGAAAAACCTTGAAAATGAACCCATTTCCATTTGCCACAGACCGATTTATTTGTTGGCTCCCTAATGCTAAGGAATAGGATTCAGGAAATTTTCAAAATCCTGAACAAAATTGCAGAGTACCAAAGCAAGGGCCAGCAGGCCTTTAGCAAAAGCTTACTAGGAAGACAAACAGACACAGAACACTACAGGAAAGTGATAGTCCGTTGGCGATCCCAGAGAACAGGCAGTAAGTTCTGTCTTACTTCTACTAACATAGACCCAGGCCTCAGTTACCTGCAAAGGGCAGGGGCGCAGTAGTTCAGTGGGAAGGATCAAAGATGTTCTAGGCCTCTTTGTGGCCTAGGAAAGCAGCATGGTACAATCAAAAGGCCTTATCCAACTGCCCTAAACTCTTACCTTCCTTTATTTTTTTTTCATAGTAGTGGCCTTTTTCTCTCTCTCTGAACATGCACGCACACAAACATTTCTTTATCCCCGTTAGAACGGAAGCTGTATGAGAGCAGCAATGTTGTTTTGTTCATGCTGGTATTCCCAGAATCAACATCAGTGCCTGGCACATAATAGCTGCTCAATAAACGTTGGCTTAAAGAAATGATGAGCCCTGGGCTGAGTGAATAGCAATCAGAAGACCTAGGTCCTAATTCCTGCTCTTTCACTGTGACACCTAGAGAAAGTCAGTGTCTTTGGCTGTAAAATTCCAACTCTGTATAAACTACAGCCACGGAGGGCCTCTGCAACTCTGGCCTTATACTGCTATGATTCTAATGGCTACTGTTCACTCAAATCCATTTTCAGAGGATGGACCCAAGTTTCCGAATGCCCCCCCGGCTTGTATTGAAGCAGAGGCTATATACACCAGCCTCAGCACAGCAAACTGATGCCCTTTCTCTTCACGCCCCACCCACTCACACAAATGCCTCAGTCCTTAGGAAGCTGGAGTGTTTGCCCTAGGCCCGCCTCTCTGAGAGACAGTCTGGGAAGCTGTGTTGCCATAGCAATCAGCTCCTCCTCAAAAGGCTTCAGCCTGCCCTCCCTTACCCCACCCTACCCAACGGCTTTGTCTGGCCTCAGCACCCCCTCCCTCCCCAGCCTGTCTCTCAGCTAGAAGGAGGTTGGCTTGGGGCCCCTTTCAGTAACACTGTCATACTCATCCAGCCACTGTGTGGAAGGCAGGCCCTTTTCACCCTCTCCCAACTAGCCCAGGAGCAAATAGAACCTTGGCACCATATCAAGTCCCCTCAGGGAACCTGAGGAACTCCCAAGAGGATTAAGCCCTAGTCTCAGTACTGACCATCAACTTCCAAGCCAGGAGTGTGGGGAGGCATTCTTTCTTCCTCTTCCAGCTGAGGCTGGAAACTCATATCCCTTCAGGAGTACAGCCTGCAATAGGAGTTCACCTCTCAAAGCAAACATCAAAGATTCAATAATTTCCACCTTTCCCACAGAAGCCGGTTTTTGAGGGTTCTAGGGTTCCCCAGTCAGAAGAAAGAAAAGGGTAAGGAAAATAAGTTTGTGATAAGTGGTAAAAATGTAGCTGCCAGTCACTTGTGGGGGCTGTTGAGAGAGATCTTGGATGTAGTAGGATGAGGTCTGGGTCAGCTGCTGGTTACTAGGGTCTGTGGCCATGGAGCACAAAGCTCCTAGACGGGCAAGTCCCAGGCCAGGCCCCAGGGCGAGGAAGGAAGTGGGAAATGAGCACACCCAGAGCATAGGGCAGGGCAAAGTGGGGGAGGGGGAAGACAGGGACCAAGGCAGCCTTCTGGGAGGAACAGGAACTAGAGTGGGGGTTAACAGGAACACCAGCTAGGGGAAGAAACTCCAGTCTCAGCCAGACAGATCCAAAGCCTACTGAGGAGACAGTCACAGAAGACCTAGTAGCAAAAGGGACCTGGATCCTCTCTAAGAGTGCTCAGGCCTGAAGATGTAATTAGCCAGGAGCACTATGGACTGATTTCTTCACCCCACTAATTCCATTATGCCATTCCTGGAACAGTACACAAACCTCTTCCTGGAGTCTCTACAAAGCCACAAGACTTTCTCAAAGCACTAGGGATTCTTCCCCCTCTCAATTGGGGCCTACAACCTCTTACCCTCACATAGTGCCCACAACCCCATCCCTTCATTCTCTGCACAGCCCTCTGTCTCTTCCACACTCTGGACCACCAGCTCTTCTCCATCGTACAGCACCTGCTTTCCCCAAAGCACTTCAGATCCCCTCCCCCTCAAGTATAGCCAGCCTCCAATCCTCCACATCAGACAGACTCGCCCCCTCACACTGTACCTCCAACCTCCACAAAGCACTCCCTCACAAGAGACCCTGGAGAATGCACCTGCTTACCCACACGTTGAGTACCCAAGTCCTCCCCCAACTCTGTGTCTTCCTTCCCCGCAGCAGTCCTCAGATTCTCTCCTTCCTTAACGTAGCCCCCACCTCCTCATGTTTGCCCAAGCGCACCCCCATCCTTGTCCCTTATTCCACGCGCACCCCACCCCACACCTGTAGTTCCGTGAGTCCCGTAGCACCTGAGGAGGTAGTGGGTTGAGGCAGTTAGAGAGAGGCCCTAGCTGCAGCCTCGGCCTGCAAACCTCACCCCTTCTGCCCGAGCCCCGCCCCCGCAACGCCCAGGCCCACCCCCTCCCTTGTCCCACCTCCCACCTTCTCGGGGCTCGTCCCCTTTCCCAGTTTCTTTAATTCCTCTGGCTCCTCCCCTGTAACACAGGCCACGCCCCTCTCTAGCTCCGCCCCTTCTCGCCTTTTCTATTTCCCCAGAACATCCGCCTGTCGCTAGCCCCTTCCTTGATCCCCACCCCTTTGTGGTCTCTCCGCCTTTCGCTAGGACCCGCCCTCTCGGATTCCAGCCTGGCAGAACCCAGGCCAGGCCCTCTTCCACCGCGAGCCTCCGTCAGTCTCAGTGACTCTCATACCCCCGCCCCTTCTCCCGCTCGCCTCACCCGGGCGCCGGCGCTCCAGCCAGGATCCGCTGGCTCTGATTGGCGGCGGCGGCCCCAATGGATGGCGGAGGAGACAAAGTGATGGCTGCAGGTCGCCTGAGGTCCCACCCCAGCCACGTGCGGCTTCTGTGATGACAGGTCTAGAGGGGTGGGGCCTTGGCCTGCAGGGTGCCGGCCTAGGTTGACCGGATCGGGCGGGGGGTGGGGAGCCGGAGCTGGCATCAAAGCGCTAGCCTGAGGGCACTGAGCCTGACTGGGTCTCTCCCCAGGCTTCTGCTCCGGTAGGAGCTGCCTGGAGAACTTGAGTCTTTTTGTGGGGACGTCTGGGTTTGCGCGCACATTTGCCCTAATGCGGGAGGTCTGGGATTTGCAAGATAGTGCAAGGAGTCTCAGGGGTCGGTGAAGATGGGAGAATCTAGTGGGTGGGATCTCAAGTCTGTGAGATTGAGCAAGTGTCTGCCGCCTACGCTGTACAGGAGAATCTGAGTTCTGGGAGGTGGGCAGTAACAGC